ATCCATCCATCCATCCATCCATCCATCCATCCATCCATCCATCCATCCATCCATCCATCCATCCATCCATCCATCCATCCATCCATCCATCCATCCATCCATCCATCCATCCATCCATCCATCCATCCATCCATCCATCCATCCATCCATCCATCCATCCATTACCTGCTTCTGCATAAAGGTTGTGGACCATTTCTGTAACACGTGACACATGTAATGTGTTTTGTTGGGAATTGTAAATAACATTCTTGCTGCAGAGCCATGCTTATTTGGTATTTATTTCCAAATGTGGAAATATATAAATATAAATACAAAGTATATATATAATATATATATATATATTCATATCACATCATAGTCTAAACTGTTTTTGCACACTTTTTTTTCCCCAGTGAAATGCTGTCGACTTGTTTCACAGCAGTCATACATTACTGAGGCGCTTAGGTGCAATAAAAAGAAAAACATTAAAGAAATCAATGATAATTTTTAAATGAACACTTTTTAAAAGACACGTTTTGTGAATTACAAAATGTAGGAATGTTCAGTGTCTTTTCTAAAAACTTCTGATTTTAGTTTAGTTGTTGCTCCAGCGCTGCAGGGCCAGGTTTGTTAGAACTTTAAAAAGAATGTGTATAAAAGTTATTTGACGACAACGAGGGGAGAATAAGCTACATCTGACGCGTTTACTGTCCTGTAAATGAAGAGTTGGGGAGCATCCTGGTTTTTTTTTTAGGGAGGAGGAGGAGGGTCCGGATGGGGAAGATGCAGCAGTGGATTAACGTGGGCGTGGAGAGTGGATGGTTCCACGTCAGTGGGTTGCTCTCGCGCAGTGCTGCTGACGTCCACAGAGACAAAAATAGAGAATTGTCCTGTGAAGCTCAGCTTGCTGATGCTCGTGTGCAGATAAGACTGACAGGTGTGGCTTTCAGGAGCTCAGACTCTGCTCCACTTGAGATTTGTTCAACTTTTAGTTCAGGAGTTGCGGCTGGTGGTGTGTGTGTGGATCAGAAACATCAGTTGATTTTTTCAAATTAAAGAAAATCAAAGCTCTGACCAAACGATTGTATAAATAATAAATATAAATCTCTGAATTAGTTAAAACAATTTTTCCAGCACTATTTTATGGTTAAACCACAATTAAGTTGTTTTTTTTTAAATTCACAGTATGGATTATTTTGAGAGTGCACTGATTCCAACAGTATGAAGTAAAACTCTATAAGTACTCCAGGTGTATTGCACTTAAACTGAGCAACACTGCCACCAAATGGATGAAGGCATGTTCTTCAACTCCTCAAATTCCAGAAAAGTCTTTAGCGTACACACTCAAGTACAAAAACCCAATTATTTGTTTGACGTCATACCTTTATGAGCTCCTCCCTTAGAGCTGATGATTCATTTGAGCAGGGTGGATGCAGACGGAGTCTCAGCTCTGAGGTGGATGATAAACACAGTGGTGTGGCTTTCTGAGCAGAAAGGGAGTTTTGACACTTGGAGCATTTCATTGTCTGTCTGGATGTCCACTTGATGCTGTCTGGTCGGTGATGTCACGACGAGCTGGAAGTGAAGCAGTTGAAAAAAATCAACCAATTATTGTTTAAATGACTACAAATGGGGCAGCACGGTGGGGCAACTGGTAGAGCCGCTGCCTCTCAGCAAACAGGTCCCTGGTTCAAACCCCGGTCCAGGGCCTTTCTGGGTGGAGTTTGCATGTTCTGTCCGTGCATGCGTGGGTTTTCTCCGGGTACTCCGGTTTCCTCCCACAGACCAAAAACATGCATGTTAGGCTGATTGGTAACTCTAAATTGTCCCTAGGTGTGAGTGAGAGAGCGAATGGTTGTTTGTCTCGTTTGTCTCTATGTGTCCCTGTGATGGACTTGCGACCCGTCCAGGGTGTACCCCGCCCCTCGCACAGCGATTGCTGGACATGGGCACCAGCGACCCCCGTGACCCAAAATGGAATAAGCGGGTAAAGATAATGGATGACTGCAAATGGTGATATTTCTAATTATTTTCATGCAGTTTATTATTTTCATTTATTTTATTGTTTTATTTTGTATTTGAGTTCAAACCCCAGGATCTTCTTGGTACAAGGAAACAGCTCAAACCAGCGTCCCCACCGTGCAGCCCTAGCTCGTCTTCACACGGTTAGAAATGGTGGGGAAATGGTTTATTTGCTGTTTGACGATTGGTTGAATGATGATTAAGAGATGATTTCATCTAAAAAGTATTTCCACGTCATTTGCAGACACGTCACAGGAATGTTGCATTAAAACATATGAACATGTGTTGCGAGTCCTTCAAGTGACAATTTGTGTATTTCCTCACAGTTTTGTGTCCCTATAGTCTCCAGCAGTGGTAGGAAATGTAGGAAAAGCCCGTTTCGACAAAACAAACTTTTTACTCAAAGACAGCTGAGCAACCATGAGCTCCTCGTCCATGTCAGATTAAAAAGTGAAATTCCTTAAACAAACTAAATGAATGCTACACGTTTGTGTTTCCTCTGGTGATCTGAGAGATCCCTTGCCGTCCTGCAGGTGGACGGGATCCTGTGCCTGGCAGACATCCTGACCGACGACAGCAGCGTGGAAGCAGCCAGAGCCGAGGCGGCGGCGGTCGTGGCCCAGATCACCTCACCTCACCACACGTCCACGCAGCATCTCGCCAGCTTCCTGGAGAGCATGCACGACATCGTCACCGCTCTCATCAGTGAGTGGGCATGCTACTGATGTTGCCAACCTGACCTTTGACCTGTACTCTGTAAAATATATTTATGAAACCATGTATTAAATATAATTTAAGTAATTTATTAAATTTGTTAAATTAAAATATTAAGTATATATATAAGTAGTCCCTTACTTAGCGGTTACGTTCCAGACACCGCCACGATAGGTGAAAATCCACAAAGTAGGGATGGTGTATTTATTTTAGTATTTATATATAAGGCTTCATAAATTTTTTCCACACTCTTTCAATAACTCTCTAAAGGAGCACAGAGAAAGAGAGCAGACAGACTGATGCTACGGTTACTGAGCCAGTCCCGGGAGCGGACTGGCCATCTGGAGCACCGGGACATTTCCCGGTGGCCTGGCCCGCTCAGTGATCTCCGAGGGGGACTAAAAGCTCGGTTTGAGTCGCGCTTGATTATTTTAAATAAACAATCCATGCCGCTCGTGTGGCTCACTTAGGTATAAGACAGAGTCCCCAACCCATCTTTTCTTTTTCAGAGGCTGTCTGTCACAGCAGAGCAGAGACACACAACAGGTTGTGCGCCTGCCCATTGTGTTTCTCTGCTCGCCTCGGAAAAAGAAAGGAGGGGAGGGGGTCTGTCTTATACCTAAATGAGCCACACGAGCGGCATGGATTGTTTATTTAAAATAATCAAGCATGACCCAAGCCGAGCCTTAAGTCCCCCTCGGCGATCACTGAGCAGGCCAGGCCACCGGGAAATGCCCCAATGCTCCCACTGGCCAGTCCTCCTCTCAGCATAAAGCTCTGGTTGGTCACTTTCCATCAATCAGTCAATAATGTGTTGTAAAAAAATCTTACGTTGAAAACCTGTGAAAGAGTGAGTCGGTGAAGGTTGAACCACAAAGTAACAAAGGACTACTGTATTATGATATATGAATATATATATATATATACATTTTTTAATGAGTCAAAGAGAAAGTAAACCCGTGAATCTCATGATTAGCGTTTCTTACGTGTCAAACGTTTTGATGCGCAGCATCAGATAGCTGCAGGAAACGATTTAATTCAGTAAGTGGTGTTTTATTCTCTCAGAGCTGTGTGAAAGCGCCTCCTGTGGTGAAGTATTCCTTCTGGCCTCTGCAGCCTTGGCCAACATCACGTTCTTCGACAGCATGGCCTGTGAGATTCTGCTGCAGCTCAACGCCATCCACATCCTGCTGCAGGCCTGCAAAGACCGCCAGAGAGTCGACACGCCCTACTCCAAGGACCAGGTGTGCAACCAGATGTGGCTGCAGCTGTGAAAACAATCAGATATAAATGAAATGGGACAGAAAGCAGTGGTTGCTCCGTGCCCTGAATGAAAACAGTAATGTGCGACACACTTGGGCCATGTTTTCTTCTTATTTTCTCTCAGGTGGTGACGATTTTGGCAAACCTCTCTGTCTTAGAGCCGTGCGCCCCAGAAGTCCTGCAAGAACAAGGTAATCTCTTTTTACAATTTATAACTGTCATTTTCGTTTGTCAGCTGTTTATTAAACGTAAAATATATAGAAAAAACGAATTGACATTACCTTATATAAAACATATTTTGGTGCTTAATAAAATAAAATTATGCTGCATCAAGAAGCATATTTATTTTTAACTTTTCTTTTTTAATTTATCAAAACATTTTTTATAGTATTTTCCAGGTTTGGATAACTTTGGAAAAAATGAACAAAATATGAAACAAATGTTTGTGATTCCTGACTCTAATACACATCGTGTTTTCTAAAAAAATATTAAATGTAAATTAAAAAACAAAGCTAACCAAACAAGCTGTGTATTTTAAACAAAGTCACCATGATGCCCACGTTTGGTTCATAAACCACTGACAGACAAGTCCCATAAACCAAACAGGAAAAGCCTTTCTTATGGTTATAATTCAATAAAAAAAAGTGCAACTTTAACACTGTGATAAGTGGAAAAACAATAAAATAGATGCATTAAAATGTATGAAGTAAGATGTAAATAATAAAGTACTCTATATGTTTTTAGAAACTAATATCACATTTAAGAACTGGTAAATTATTTTGAATAAATTTTTATAAACTTTAAATCTGTTCATGGTAAAATAACTTTAATATTGTAAATTATATTACAGTCTTTCAGTAAATAAAAGAATGCAACTATATTGTATTATATATTTTTTGGGATAAATTTACTATAAATTGATAAAAACACCGTTTGCCAGAATTTCATAATTAAACATATATTTACAGTGTTATGACAATACAATAAATATTTACAACAAAATACCAGTTGCTGTAGTTTCCAGTGTTTCATTGTAAAAACTTTAAGGTCAAAATGTCACAACTAGGCCAGACCCTGTACTTATGACAGCATAAAAAATAAACAAATACAATGAATTTATTCAGGTTTTTGTTTTAGAGTGACAGGCTTTTGTAAGGTTTTGATTAAAGAAAGCTTGTCTGTGAAAAAATATTATCTTGTAATTATTTTATAAAAGTTGCAATGAAACAGAACAAAGGAAAAACATATCCCTCGCAGTAGTGGATAATTATTTTTTCCTCACAAAATGCATTTTAAAGTCAGTGTAATAATAATAATAATAATAATAATAATAATAATAAATCTCGCCACATCTAATAGTTGATCAGATCATGAAACAAAACCACCGTACAAACAGTAAATGTGGAGGTTACGACGTAATTAACAGAAATAATTAACAGTTTGAACCTGAAAAAATCTGGGATTTCAAAAAGTAGAAACTTGGAATGCTATAATAAACTGACTGCTCTATTTGAGGTAATAAATAAATAATATAAAATAAAATAAAAATCTGTATTTCTGTTTTTGTCCTGAAGAGGGCAGCATCGGGTGATTTTTGTAAAGTAGCTCATTGAAGCAAAAACTCAAAGTCAGCTATTTGACATGGTAGTTATCTGTAAACAGATCTGCAGAGCTTTTTTTACATCAATATTTAATTATGTTTATTATTCTTTCATCATTCCCTTTTTATATTTTCTTCTTTGGTGGTATTTGTGCATTTCGTCTGCACCGAGTGAAGACACATCCCTTTTTATACAGTCATCAACAGCTGGATCTGTGCAGTTCTTTACAGATAAAAGGCTCTCCAGATGTACAGTACTTTATGGTTTGGTTTGATTAAATGTAGGCATTGGTGTATCTTATCGGAGCTCATTTACTTATTAATTTAATGTTTTTAAATGATCATCACATGCATGTTCAGGGTTTATAATCTCAGCTTTCTGCCAATGCATTAACTCAAATTATTCCTTCAAGAAGCTGTTTGCAGTATTGGTCTCTTCATTTCAGTTAAACTGGCAGTAATGGTTGTATCCTTTGCATTTTTAGTCTGAAAGCTTTAAACTTGATCTGTTTATGTGGACACTTACTGCACTGTAATTATGTTGTTTCTAGTTGTTGGATTTTTCTCCCTCTTATTTTTTTAATTAATTTATTATATCTTTTTGGGGTTAAGGTGTACCATGAGCACACATTTTTTTGTTGTTTTTCAGGAATAGAGAGACTGCTCCTGCTGCTGGGAGAAAAGCCATCCTCCCCAAACCCATCAGAGGGCGCGGCCTGCGAGCGAGTCCAGCAGAAAGCCGCCGTCACCTTGGCCCGTCTGAGCAGAGACCCAGATGTGGCTCAAACAGCCATCCACCTCAAAGGTAAGAAACATATCACTCCTGCTGAGCGTGTGCATGTGACATATACACACTGATTATTTTTAGACCTGCATGCATAAAGTCCAAAATGAACAGAACACGAAACTCGCAACCAAAAAAAAGTTGTTTTGATTTATTTGTCTGAAAGATCATGTTTGTTTGTTGTTTTCTTTTACTTAAAAAGTAATAAAAAAATTAAAATAAAGTTCTCAATATAATAAATGTAAAAAAAAAACTTTGAAGGTTAAGATGTGCTTTATTTATTATTTCTACTTATTTGGCCATGAAGACCCTTTTAAAGACAAATATTGATAAATATAATATAAAATCATATTATGCATACTGTATAACCTATGACATGTATTTATATATACATATATACTACATTGATTTTTCTGTTTTTGCTTTTTATGGAAAACACACTTAAAAAAATAATTTACTGTATATTCACTCAATTTTTATTACAGTTCCACATATTTCATATGACTTAAGTAAAATACAGAGTAAAGGAGAAATACTGTATAACTTCTGTCAGATTTTGGATTAAATCAGTTTATTATGAATATGTCAGTTTACAATATCAGACAATAAAGACAGTAGAAAACACAACACCATGACCAACCTGGAGTAGAAAACAAGTACAAGCTCATTAAATCTTGTCTGAATGACTTTCTATAATAACAGTATTTTTATTTTATTTTATTAAAATAATGTAAAGAAAACTTCTGAAAAGATATCTGATATAT